TTAATGTATTTTCCAAATTTGATAAAAATATGTTCCTAATCAAGCAAACTACAACAGTTGACTTATTCTCCACAAGAATAACATGGGAATTTTTAATAAACATTTTTTTGAAATTTTCTCTGTAACCATTAGGTAGCCTACATAATAAAGCTTCAATATGGTAAATTATTTGTTTTTATAAGCTCTACAAAATTATTTCAAAATAAATTGTGTAATTTTGCGTTTTTAGGGTCAAAAGTGGGAAAAACCTATTTTACCCCATAAAACCCCCCATAAACCGCCAATACAATAGTCCGATCATGCTGGTTCGCGAACTTGTTTGAATAAATGTAGGTTTACACGTTCATACCAAATTTCATAAAAATGGGATTTTTTTTGCTCGAGTTAGGATCGTGCTAACGGACATATGTATAAATATATATATATATGAATTTGAACGGATGGTGTTTTTGGCCTCTAAGGGCCTCAAACGAAAAAATAAATTTGTCCCGGGTCCAGGTCTTACAATGAGAACTACGTTAATAGCTCATTCCCTATATGGGAAATTCGCTAAAATCAAAACAAATGGAATAAATTACAGTACAATCGCACATGTTTTATTTGCAGCGTGGGGTGAAAATAGAGAAGCCTACATTACATATTTTTGGCCAAATTTTTGACCACTGGACGATCATTAGTACAATGTAAAAACATAGGCTACTATGAATAAAAATTCTCAGATTAATTTACTTAAATTTGCATCAATTCTAAAACTTATGAGCGCACCAAAGTGTTGTCATAATTTGCCACACTTCCACAATCACGGTAGCATCGTAATAATTTGCAGCTATATTTTGTAAAAAATATCCCTAAACCATTTTAAACATTGTCTAACAAATAAAATAGATAATACTGTACTAGAACGCCCCTGTTAGCATTTCTTCGTTTTTGCTGCCTTATACAACTTTTTTGTGTTCATAGCTTGACTACTTAGTACTAATCCTATGTCTGTTGTTTGCAGGTTGGTGTGCTCGAGGATGACTACACATGCTTGGGTATTTGTTGTGCCATATTCTTCTTTCCTCTTGGTATCTTGTGCTGCCTCGCGTTGAAGGACAAACGTTGCACTAACTGCAACGCTTATTTCGGCTAGAAGAGTTCCTGCCTTACAATTTTAACAATATTATATACCCATTTATTATAGTCTGAAACGTGTGCCTTTTATTAAACATCATTATATACTTAATTATATTTTACATGTGGTAAAACATAGCTGAAGTTTCAACTTAGGAGCCTTTTTTTGTATTATCTCTGAAGTAGACAGACTGGTCTCAATGTGTTTGTTAAGTCAAGATTTGGCCTTAGGTAAAATTTATATTAAAATCATGAAAAAACCGATACTTCCCCTGAAAAGTTACAAATCAATTGCGTCTACAGTGACAAAGGCATTACAAACTAACCATAAAATATGCAAATGAAAATACAAGGAAAGTATCCAATATAAAATATATTTATAAACCTCAAAATAGTATCTATTGTTCCTTAATGTAAGATTTATTACAGCAACTTTGTCATGTAGCAAAATTTTTTAAATTGCATTGATATGTGTGTAGTTCCAGGTAAAATTTACTTCCATAACAAATGTTAAACGACACCTTTAGAGCCAAACTAGGTCTAAGATTGTAATATGTAGGCCTACATCAGTTGCTGTGCTTCATTGATTTTTATCAACCAGTACAATCTTGTGATAGCAATATTAGTCTTATGTGATAGCTGTATGGTAATGTAACTTGAAGATCCAAAAAATTGAAATAATTTAAAATCTATTTACGTTACACTCTCCTATGAATGAGTTTAATATACCTCGATTCACATTATTCCAACCTTACCAAAACGCTTTTAGTTTGAAGAACAAGGTAACTCTTGCTATCAACTGTAATATTCAACTGTAAATTATGTGTTGAATTTTACCTCCCAACTATTGAAAAAAATAATAAAAAAAATACCTCCATTATTCCAAAAAAATTCCACTATTATATTACCCATTTATAAAAGGGGGTTGTTTTGGTTTTATTGTCACTTTGAGTACTTTTCTACTTATTATTATTACATTATTATTACTTATTATTATTATTACTATGAGCTTGTTTTATTCAAATTAAAACTGTATAGATTTGATACTTTAACATCAATGTACAAATTTCATTAATCCTAGTTTTGTTAGTGAAGTACAACCCCGCTAATCCGTCACTTATGGGTCCGAGACCATAGTCGGAACAGTGAAAAGGTCAGATTAACTGAAGGAAGAACATATTAAATGACCATGGAATATATTTTTCAATGATCGGGAAAGATGGTGATGTCTACATGACCACAAGGGATGTTCAGGATTTTTTTTTAAATAAATTTTTTCTGTGTCCGTGTTATTTTCCTAGTATTTGTCCACCATCGCAGAAGACGACAATAATGTTCCCATTACTGTGTGAGATTTTCAATATTTGCCACTATCAGGAGGGATGACGATTTATGTTTTCGTGATCGCGGAAAAGGATCATTATGTTTCTGTGATGGTGGGGTAAACTAGATTTTCGTGGGGGACGGTAATGATTTCCACACAACAATGGCAAATAGTCATGATATTAGTGCGATAAGATTGCCACGGATAGGCATAGGTCGTATTAAGTAAGGAGTCGGACTAGCCAAGAGCCAAGGTCGGATTAGCGGGATCTACTGTAACTACATTTCTACTTTAATTACTCTTACAGATTTTTGAAAGAAAAATAGGCCTACTCGTTTTTATATAAACAATAATTGGTGCCAAAGGTATTTTGAGTAATAAAAAGATTTATAACATTGATTTATGAAGTATAGTGTACTTAATTCTACTGTTAATATTTTACTTATATCAGGCCATTTGAAAATGTCATTTTTGTGAACTCTTAGATAGTTTTCATACCAATAAAACACATTTAGGAATAGTCTTATGACCTATATTTTAGCAACAATTTAATGTTTTGTCTTGTATTCTATATTCCTGCTTGTGAGAAATATGTGTTATTGCTTTATATTTTACTGCAATTTTGTGTTATAATAAATAATTTATTTTACTTTGTGTTGAATTATTAATCTTAGGCTCTGAAAGAGGTAAAGTGCTGGTGTCAATGTCAATGATCAAGATATTAATTTGATAGAATTGCTAATACTTTTCTTTAATAAGTTTAAAGACATGACTAATAACAATCTATATACGGGTTGTTCAAAAAGTCTGGACACCTCTTATTATCTTTTTAACCAACTTGGTTAGAAAATTCAAACTTTGCACAACTACATATATGTATAAAAACTACTTTTTGCAAGCATTTAATTTTTTTATCTACACTGGGGAGTATAACAAAATGCCCATGAGGAGTAAGTATTATTGTTCATGTTTATATTGAACAATAAGTTATCGTAGTTGTCAGCTGATATGTTTTAATCCGTTAATATCGATATATTGGATCAAAAAGTAAAATATCAATGTATAAAAAAAAATCATCAATAATAATTAATGTTCCCCTTAACAGGAAAGTACCATCAGATTTGTTGTTACAGTAGAGTCCCGCAAACTCGGCACTCGATAACCCGGCAGTCTGGATAACTCGGCCATCACCTGGCACAGAAAATTTGTGATTTTTGAGTCCGAGTTAAACATGGACTCAAGCCAGCTCAAGTCAAATCATTCACAACTCGTACCAAGGATTTGTTGTACTATATCTGATGACTTAATACTGACTTGTAATATAAATATAAATAAAAAAGGCGGTTAAAAATTGTAGTGTTTTTATCTTTAACCCTAGTTCTTGATAACCCGGCATTTCACAAACTCGGCACCCTTCCAGTCCACATTACGCCGAGTTTGCGGGACTCTACTGTATTTCATGGCTTTTTAAATGGAAAAATAACATAAGTACAATCACTTTTGAACTGTAATTTTTACGAAAATGGGATTTGTAAAATTTTTTGGGGTTTAGGTTGACCTAAAATATCCACTCAAACTCGAAAATTTTGACAGACAATACTTTCTCCATGTATAGGAGGAGAAAGTAAAAAAATGTTTTCAATTTACAAAGAGTGAATAGTACGTTTCAAAATAAAGTTAAAAAGGATTTTATCCGACAGAGTAAAGAATCTCAAGATCTTCTTTGTATCTAAAGTTCTTTCAAAGTCTTAAGCTGCTGATTGAAGAACTGAGTCAATACAAGTAGCACTGAGATTGAAGCTGTGAACTTAGAAAATCGCATCTTTCTGACTTTGTAGTATGCACCCTATACTATTTTAGGGCAAAACACTTTTCTTTCCTCTCTCAAAAAAAGGAGACGATTACCTTTTTGTAAAAACTAACTAAGGTCTGTTGAGATTTAGTAATATCTCTAATCATGTTTCTATCAGTCTGTGTTTAATTGAGCGAAGCTCTTATATGTCCACTCTTATGCATTTCGTAATACGCAAACTCTTCCTAGACGGCTGAATCAATCGTTTTCAAATTTTGCATGGTGATAAAGACCATATCGGTGAGTGCCAACATCTATATGGCGTTAAAAAACTCTCTCAGGAATCCGCCCCACTGGGTCTCAAAGTTTCAATGTAATCCTTATGGAAGCAGTATTAGACACGTAAACTTAAGACATATGATCAGCTGTTGACTTTTAAATGCAGTAGATAAAGAAATAGCTGAGAGCATTATTCCACAGATATTAGAACAGAAACGGTATGGATCATAAATATAATCAAATGACGACACTAGCTTGGGGTCCATGACCTATGAAGTGGTTAAGGAAGTAGTAAAGGCGAGCAGTCTGGAGTGTGGAAACTGTATATGACGATTAGATTAAGGTATCTGCATTCCTAAAATTCTATAATGAGGGAGGAAAACAGGTCTGCGACGAATGAAGTGGTGAAGGAAGTAGTAAAGGTGAGCAGTCTATAGAGTGTGGACACTGTTTATGACGATTAGATTAAGGTATCGTCATTCCTAAAATTCTATGGGAAGAGAGGAGAAACAAGTAACGCTAGGTCCTAATACTAAACTGTGCCGACTGTATGACAAACTAGAAACACAGTTAAGGGCACTTAAAACTTTAGGAGTCACTTCAGACAAGTACGCTTCAATGCTGTATCCTCTGGTAGAATCTGCTTTGCCCGAAGAAACGTTACGAGCCTGGGAGCGGCATCGTTCAAGTAAGTTACCACACACACCCTCGACTTCTGCATTGTCATATGATAAATCAAGTACTAATTTTTTACAAGAACTTCTTGATTTTCTTAAAGCTGAGTTGGAGAGTGAAGAGAGGCTGGCGCTTGCTCGTTTGAGTTTTAAATCTGCCACTCCAGGAGACAACAACAGCAAATGCCCCAGGAAAATGTCAACGGTACACGAACCTCGTCAGAGTGAACCTACTGTAGCAACTCTATTGACAACTGGTACAGAGGGTCCTAGAAGGTTGGTGAGTAACTGCACTTATTGTTCTAAAAGAGGGCACAATGCTCAAGATTGTTCCTATTTTCAAAAATTAACTTTAGATGGAAGAAAGGAGCATCCGAAAAAGAAAAATTGCTGCTTTGTGTGCTTGAAGCAAGGTCACACAGCAAAAAAGTGCAAGGTATTTGTCAAATGTCTCTTCTGTCGTAAGAGGCATTATGGGATCATTTGTAGGGACTTGTATGAAAGTAGATCTAAAATTGATGTTGACAAACCAGACTTACAGCAGCAAAGTATAACTAAGCCTAGTCAGAGGTTCTAAGTAATTTTGGAAATGGTACAGGAGAAACTCTATTACAGACTCTATTAGTTAAGGTTGCAGATGAGAAAGGTAAAGAGTATTTGGGAAGAGTACTTTTAGATCCAGGTTCACAGAGGTCCTACATTACTAAGGACTGTGTCACTAAATTGGGTCTACAAGAAACAGGTAGTGAAGTCATAAATCATAGTTTGTTTGGTGGAGTAAATCTAAAACAAAAATCTCACAAAAATTACCTTTGTTACGCTTCAGAATGTAAATAACTCTTTCAAGATCTCTATTCCTGTGACAGATCAAGAAACAATATGCAGCCATGTACCTAGGCTTAAGAGTGGAGAGTATTTTGACATCTTGAAAGAAAAGAACATTATTAAAACTGATGTGGGTGAAAATGTACCAGATGTTAAAATTTTACTTGGTGCAGATGTATTGGTGGATTTGTATACAGGAACTATCCAGAGGATTGATGACAAATTAGTTGCTATTGAAACGTACCTTGGATGGACCGTGATGGGAAAACAATCACGTAGTGGAAGTCATAATACGTCTCTTCTAACTTTATTTTGCCAGAGTAAACCAGATTCAGAGATCTAGGGAGCTAGGAGACAATCAGAAGAAGGGGTCCTATTGGGGTGAAACAGAGAGACTCCATTGATGCGGAAATGTTTCAACAGTTTAAAGAAAATGTAGCAGTGAACGTTGAAAACAGATATGAAGTCAATTTGTCATCAAGCAAAAGACTAAATACTCCCAACAAATTAAGTGACTGTGTTAGAAAAAATTTTTCAGATCCAGCAGAGTCGATAACGGTTCATCAATTGCTGCATCGCCCAGTGACAAAAGACAGTGGCTTAACTACAAAAATAAAGCCAGTGTTTGATGGGTCTACAAAGAACCAAAGAGGTAATTCTTTAAACAAATGTTTTGCTCCAGGTCCAAATTTGGTAAATTTAATTCCATCTTGTGTAATGAAATCTAGGAAGCAGTTGGATCGGAAAACCATGAAACATACATTGGAGATCAAATATCCTGGAAGTTCGATCCTCCGAGCACCCCATGGTGGGGAAGTATGTGGAAACAACTTGAGAGAATGATGAAAACATCGAAGAGATCAAGATTTAAGAAAAGGTATCTTACAATGCTCGTATATATAACTGTATAATATTATATAACGCCATCCCATTACACACCCATTACAATATAATTGTAATGGGTGATCTAAATATAAATCTGCTAGATAATTCACAGCCAGAAAGCCGCTTCTTAATCAAAAAAATCAATGACCTTCATCTACGGCAGCTGGTTGATAAGCCCACGAGAGTCACAAAAACATCGTCCTCGCTGATCGATCATATATTAGTGAACAATCAGATTGACTACTCAAGATGTGATGTTTGTGAGACATGTCAGTAATTTATGATAAACGTGGTGTCCGAGTCTCTGACCATAAATTGACTTTTTGTGACATACCCGTTAAATATAACAGAACCACTGAAAAGGCAAAATATCACTTACAGAGACTTTTCAAATTTTAATATAGAGAATATGATTGAGTGTGCTTCCCAGGTTAAATGGAACACAGTCCAAAACATGAGTGATGTAAACAATATATTGAACTTCATTGCCACTGCTATTTTAGAAATGTTTAATCGTAATGCCCCATTAGTAACAAAGAGGGTTACTAGAAAGAAAGCACCGTGGAGAAACCAAAATATTATAGATCTCACAAAGCAAAAGAACTTTTGGAAGAAAAAGCTAATGATTTCTAGAAATGACATGGACAAAGATCAATACTGTAGAGCTAGAAATGCTCTAAACAGTGCTATTAGAAGAGCCAAACGAAATTATTTATTAACGAATTAGCAAAATGCTCAAATTCAAAGGATTTTTGGAAAAAAATTAAGATGAGTGGGGCAATTAAGGCAAAAAATGCTGAACTCCCATCATTTCTTAGAAATCCAGATTAAATTAATAAACATTTTTCAATGATGGGAACTGGCTCTCAATTTCACTTTGAAACTCTTGATTATTACTTAAATAACATTTCTCAGAGTGTAGAAAACACATTTTCTTTTAGAGCAGTAACAGTAAGAGAAGTAAAAGATGCCATAAACAAGATCACCTCTATGGCTGTTGGCATTGATGAGATAACGATCAGCATGATAAAGATGGTAAGTCCGTACTGTATTGAGGCCGTCACGCACCTGTTGAATGTTTCGTTGGCTACGGGGGTGTTTCCGGATAACTGGAAGGAGGCCATTCTCATTCCTCTGGCTAAAGTTGGTGCTCCCTCTTCTTTGGCAGATCTTCGCCCCATCTCTGTGTTACCCGCCCTCTCCAAGGTCTTGGAGACTATTGTTGTCTCTCAGTTGGTTGAGTTCCTGGAGTTGGAGACAATAATTCCAGCAACACAGTCTGGCTTTTGTAGGGGGTACAGTACTTCAACTGCTCTGTTACTGCTTTGTGATGATGTCATAAAAGCTAGAGCTGAAAAGAGGTGTACTTCTCTTGCAATGCTGGATTTTTCACAAGCTTTCGACTCTATTGATCACGATCTACTGTTGGCCATGATGTATCACTACAGATTTGACCAGCAGGTAGTGTCGTGGTTTCACTCCTACTTGAACGGAAGATGCCAAAAGACCAAAGTTGGATCTGAGATATCCGCCCCCTTGCAAAAGTCCAAAGGAGTCCCACAGGGCAGCTGTCTTGGACCTGTCCTGTTTACTTTGTTTGCCGTATCTATGGGAAGAGATTTGCGTCATTGTCGGTTGTATTCATACGCTGATCATGCTCAGCTGGTTTTTCAGCATGACGCTGACCCAGCAAATCAGGCAGTCTCTGATTTCAATTCTGATTTGGATTCTGTCTTTGCATGGTCTATGTCCCATGGCATCAAACTGAACAGAGACAAATGTTCATTGGTGACTTTTTCTGTCAGCAGGATTGTTCGGTCCGAGCCCCTGTCTGGTGTATGCCTTGGTGGAATTCCGCTCAAAGGTGTATGCCTTGGTGGAATTCCGCTCAAAGAGTGTAAAGCTCCCAAGCTTCTTGGACTTCATTTTGATCCTGAGCTCTCCTTTTCTGATCATGTGAGTTACGCATGCCAGAGAGCAATAGGTCGTCTGAGAATGCTGTACAGGCATCGTGACTTGTTCCCCAAACCCACCAAATTTCGGCTTGTGCAGGCACTTGTACTGTCTGTGTTTGATTACTGTCTTCCGGTGTATGGTAATGTTATATCACTGGGAGACATGAGTCGGATGCAGAGGGTGCAAAACATGTGCGTCAGGTACGTCTGCGAAAATTTGATCGAATTTCATCAGACCTCACATCTCTTGGCTTATTGCCTATGGCTGACCTGTGCCTTTTGCGCACTTTCTGCATCATCCAGAGGGTACTGTCAGAGGAGAGACCTCAGTACCTGAAGGTAAGACTGAGAGCTCGCTCTGAGATGCGATCCCGTTGCAAACGGCAGGATGACATGCTGGAGATGCCCCGTGTGCGCTGTGAGTCCGACCGTTGTGGGTTTTCTTATTTTGCCCCTAAAATCTGGAATATATTGTCATCCAGGACTGAGCCAAGGGTGTTGGACAGTGAAAAGTCGTTTAAAAAATATATAACAAATGGCTTGAAGAATGGTAAAATAAAATGGAATAGAGAACATATTTTAATTTTTAATTAGCCTAACTTAAGATTTGAAAGTTGCCTTTGTTTTATATTATTTATGTTGACGTGAGTTGTTTTGAAAAACATATGTTGTAATATGAAAAACGCTCAAGAATAAAGACGATTTTCATTTCATTATATGTTGAAACGCAAGATAATTCCTCTTCCTCAACCTCTACAGAAACAAGAAGAGGGAAGAAGATCAAAATTCCCGAGGAAAATGGATTTGTAAACTTAAAAAAAACATGTAAATAGTTTTGTTTGAAATTTTGATAGTGTAAAACAAAATTCTAAGGTGGGGAGGATGTTGGAAATCGAGTTATATTTTATATAGTACAAATTCAATAATGATCAACATCCAATATAATTATTTATTAGGCTTGTTTTTAATTAACAGATGGTTTATTTCAATTTATTTAAACAATTGAGTAGAGTTGTAGTAAGAATTTTAAAGTGATCAAGAACAATACAGAGAAAATGTTTTAAATATTGTTATTTATCAGAATAAAATCAATTCTTTAGTATTTAATAATTGTAAAAGTTCTTTATTTTACACGAGTTCTAACAGTTTGCTTGTTTATGGACATTTGAATCAAATTTGGCAATTTTGTTTAGCCTATTTCATACTAAGCTATCAGCATTTCAATCAAAACACACCTTCCGGACATAACATCTTAAGGAAATAAATCTGTCAATTTTCAGGGAATATTTTAGTAGAAATCCAGCCAGGTAAATGGAAACTCACTTAGTCTGCAGGTTTGCTGCGGCGGGGGTTTTTTTTTAAATTTTTATATGCAAAAGCCATGTACAAAATTTCAGAACTGTAGCTCAAGTGGTATTTTTGGAATATCAAATTTTGTACGCTGACACATAGAATTTTCAAAGTTGTGGAAAATTAGTTTTTACACTTTTTATTACTAATTTTACTATTTTATGTTATCTCATGTAATTGCTGACACACGATATGTCAATTTTTAAACGAAATAAAAGAAAAAACGTGTCCCTCCTCTATACTAATGTAAAAAGTAGCAAATCAGGTGATGTGTGCAATCCCTATTAAACTCAATAATGCCGTCAACTTTTATCCAAGCCGGGCACCGTTTATTAAAGGTGGGCCTCTCTCAAGGTTATTAAAAAGAAAAAGAAAATTTTTTCTTTTTAATAACCTTGGGCCTCTCCCGCCAGCTAAGCTGAGGAAATTATACTTAAGCGGAAGGAATTTATTGAAGTGTTTTCAACAAATTCCATCAGGACTCTGCCCCAGTGACCTTCAAAGTTCCCATGTTATCCTCATGTAGAAAAGATTTGTTTACATTTGAGCAGATGAATATTTTTTAAATTTTACACTGTTAAACATAGACTATTGGATACAGAAGCTATTGACTAAGGGAGCAGCTGGTTGTATTGATTTGGTTGGAATGAAACAATTTTTGATAAATTAATGAATGAATATCTTAATTGAATATATGAAAAAAATATTACAAAAAATTATGAAACAATGTTTGACGTTGGAATGAAACCTACTGATACGATTTATTTATAATACATGGTTGGTACCAAAATTAATGAAAGAGTCAAGTGCGTAACTAAACGTTTTGGTAAAAAAAATACCTAAAACGGAGAAAACATTTAGGTGGCATGGGTGCACATGGTACTTTTTTGTAAAAACACCTAGCACCCTCTAAAGAGGCTTCAGTTTTTGTTTTGAGGGTCTATTTGTAGAATCAAATTGCAATATCTTACTAATATTATAAATGTGAAAGTTTGTGTGTTTGTTTGTTTGTGTGTGTGTTTGAAGGTCAATCACGCATAAGCCACTGGATGGATTGGGCTGAAATTTGGCATGATGATAGCTTACATTCCCGATTAACATATAGGCATATTCTTATCTCAAAAATCCTTTCGGGCTCCGCCCCAGTGGCTCTGTAATTTCCCATGTTAACCTTATGAGTATTCATATTTAAAGGGAATTAAAGAATTTAGTCAGCGGTTTCAAACAAAAAAGTTGGTTCTATGATATGGAAAAGCATTAAAAAGTTATAAGATTTACCAACAGGGTGCAACACTATATTTTTTTTGCATTTATGAAAACAGCTTATTTGAACTAAGCAGCAACAAAACACTGATTCGCAATGAGAACTGTCAAAGTAGGATTGTTTACAGTTATGTTTACAGTTTTTCATTTCATGAATAATTTGTGATATTTTGCGAATTGTTGATAATTTATTTTTCTCTATTGTTTAGGTGAAATGGTAGAACATTATGGCTATGGTAGATGTGTAATACTATAGAATACTGTAAAAAAAACAAATTTTATCAAACTCTGTCCTCCCTTATTGCAAACGCAAAGCTTGAGTATAACTGCAATAAGCATTTTATACTTATATTCCTGCCCCGTACGAAGGACGGGTACTCTGCTAGTAATGTCATATTTGCAAGTGAAAAGCATCCTATATTAGTATACGAAGTAAAGTATTATCTGGCAATTTTTCTTACTATAAAATGATTTATGTTTATATAGCTATTGTTAAAATAACAAAATCCTGTGTATATGTTTAATGTTTGCTACCTTTTATGGTTTTTGTTTGCTATTTGATTTGCTGTGAAGTTTAATCCACATATCATTAAAAATATATAAGATGTGCGTTACAAGGAATGAGAAATGACAAGGAAATTGAATATAATCATTAAAATAATAGTTTTTAGGCATGAACTCAAAACCTTTGGCACAATCCTTCTTCTAGTTTTTAATATTAATTTTACAAACGCGCAGAAAGTTGGCATAAAAAATAATACTAAAATAAGGAAAAATAGCTGGAAGATACTTCAAAAGTGGAAACAAAGTGTGCAGTATTTAGAGGTCGGAGGTTAGGCCGAGATTTCAGTGTTCAGTTGCAGACCAGTCCTTCAGTAATCCACCACTTTCACTACAATATCCTGTGATCCAGCGATCCAACACACACATGGTTGGTCTGAATCCCACAAACCTTTCCTGCAATAGATTCACATATTCATTGTAAATTTGTTATCTTATTTAGAAAGTTGACGGAAAAGTTACCAGCGCTCTTTTTGGTTTATGTGGATGGTGATTTCAAGAATTTTGGATTAGTTCTAACTTTGGACTAATAAATAAGTACTGTGTATATGTCCATCAATGACGTATAAGACACCACAACAATTCACTTGTGTTTGATGTTGACAAGTGCCATTAAGATAAAAACACAAAACCACGGATTAAAACCCTTCTCTTATAGACCTGTCACCCTTTTGGGTCAGCCAAAGAAATTCAAAGGACAGTTCCATCCTATGTACCACCTTTATGCAACTAACCCTTTTACCCACTATGAGTAGTTTGTTTTTTGATCATCTATGAAACTACTTCAAGTTAATGTAAATAAAACCTTTTGTTATCCACTAATATTATAACTCAAGAATTATGCTCAAGCGTCACCATCATGAAACGCACAGATTTCAAAATAACAGTAGGTTGAAAAGTATACTTTCAAAATTGAAATCCAATGTGTGTAATAATAATAAGTGACGGAAAACACACGCAATAACCGTTTAAACGTCATTTATATTACTATGACCAAAAATTAATTCAAACAAAAGTTGTGTCTACACCACGAAAGGAAAGAAATATCCTTTTGTGTATATCGGTACACAAATGTATCTGTTTAAATACTGTACTCAATTCTTTAATGTTTTATTCATATTATTAATCAGCAAGCATAAGAAAAAAGACCAACTGAACAGTTTATTACAGATACTCCATAACCAACATTTCTTTTTCGATTTTGACTGCGAAAAAATGTTGGTTATGGGGTTTCTGCAATAAACGATTCAATCGAATCAAAGTATACATATTGACTTGTAATTGCTGACACACGATATGTCAATTTTTAACCGAAATAAAATTTAATAAAATTTAAATAAAACTAGTCCCTCCTCTATACTAATGTAAAAAGTAGGAAATCAGGTGATGTGTGCAATCCGTATTAATCTCAATAATGCCGTCAACTTCCATCCAAGCCAGTCACCGTTTATTTAAGGTGGGCCTCTCTCATGGGCAAGAGGGCAAAGGGGGGACACTCCCTTGTACTCCCCTGGCTAAAAAAACAAGAAATAAATTTAATACCCATAATGTTCTTTAATCACTTGGGTTTACAAAAAAATATAAAAGTACGTTCATAATGGTCATTTCTACAAAATGTTTTAAATTTATGTTTAACTCAAATAAGTAGTTGAGTCACAGATTTACCATTCCATTATACTAATACGGTACAAAACTATTCAGAAAACAAAATATCAACCTTCTTTGTCGTTATCTAGGCTTTATTTAACTGTAAATTTACTTTTCCTTATAATTGTTTGGCTTGTGGATTTAACCATATAAATTATACACAATAACTTCAAATAGCTTATTAGTTTTTAATGTTGGCGTAAAAACGATAACTTTTACCCTCTCTGATGCACAATATAGTGTTGGTGTATTGTTATATTATGTTTTAATGTTATAAATCATTGTTATACTGTTATATTGTTCCAAGTACTATTACATCCTACATAGATCCTAACTTTACGAAAACTAGATCCAAGTAAAAAACCCGTAAATTAGAATATTCTATTCACGAAAACCGTTATAAAACAATCTTCTGGTTTTATGAGGCGATTGTTGTAACTTATTCGTAAAGAAATGTCACAACCTATCATGTTAAAACAGTACATACGAGTCGCTTAGCGGCTTAACCTCTGAAATGACAGCTTTAATATTCACTTTGATGTTAAATTATACACGTCTGCTGGAGGCTCGCTTTAGTGTATAGAACAAAAACATCTT